ACAGATCATGCTCTTGGCCACTGAGCCAAGACCATTATCTCTCCCCCCCCCCACCATTGTCAAGAACATAGCTGTTTAAATTTCTCTTTACTTGTCTCTAAATGTCTGACATAAACTGGAGCTGGGTGCATGAAACATTCAGTATTTGCTGGTCTTGTGTTGATCTCATTAATTAGCACAGTAATTAATACCAGACATATTTATTAATGGATACTTTGGATTCTCTTGACAGCCCTGCTCCATCTCCCTCACTCTCACAATCAATCACTAAATGATGATGATTGTTCCTATTCCTCTCCCCTCTTTTTGCAGATTTCTCTGTGAAATGTCCAGTTGTTTGCATTGTATCATAATCAATCACTTATATGTCTTTCTGAGACAATGAATTGAAGACAGGGATCAAGTCTTACTGTACCAGAACAGGTCTCCTGTTTACTCGATGGTCAGTAAATATTTGCTGATGAATAATCCTTTGCCTTCTGTCCACCTCAGAAATAGACTCACCTGAAATTCTTTTGTCTTTATTTTTCCTGGTATTTGATTCCCACTAACCACTGAGCCTGTCTCCCAAGTCTGCATAAAAGCTTAGCCCACATACAATTGAATGTGGTACTCTTGTCTGTCTCCCATAGCTTCTGTTTGGAGCTGCAGAACATTGAGACTATTTCCAAAATGACATCGTTCTGTATCACTCAGCACATAAAAGGACCATCCTCCCCCCATGCCACTGATTCCTACCCTGTTCAAGCACCTTCCTGCCAGCTTAGTCCCAGAGTCGCATCAGTCCCAAAGAGAGACTCTATTAGTTATAAACCTGTTGGCCAATGGTTAGAGCTTCTTATTGGCTAGCTCTGTCTTAGCTATTAACTCATTTCTATCCAATCTAAGTGTTTCCACATGGTCTTATCTTACCAGAGAGTGTCCGGACCCCTTACTCCTACATTTGATCCTATATTTCTACTCCTCTCTACTACATCTCCCAGAATCCTCCTTGTCTCCTAGTCCTGCCTGTCTTCCTTTCCTATAGGCCAAAAGTGTTTTATTCATTAGCCAATAAGAAAAACATGTACAGAATGAGATCTCCCATCATCTCTTTTCTGTCTAAATAAAAAGGAGTTTAACTTTAACATAGTAAAATATATAACAAAATAGTTACCAAATAAGAACTACAGTTAACAATATTTAGTCCGTTAACATTATCAGGAATTAACATAATCTATCCTCTATCCTATCTTTGTGAGTTTAAAGTCTTATATGTAACTTTTCTTTAATCCTAACCAAAGAAAATTAACCACAACTGTCTGCACTGACCACGCCCATTGGGGTGTGGGGACAGGTATGGGTGTGACCTGGATATCTCACTACATTACTCTTCTGTCCTCATTCTCCCAGCAGACAAGCTCTCTGAGACAGCCTAATTGTTTTCTTTATCTCTTTTATTGTTTCAGTCAGTGCAATGAGTTTTGGAGATGTGAAGTTTTCCTAACAGTGAATTACCCATTCCCTCCCTTGAGCCGTTTCTTGAGGGGGGCTGCAAACACTTAGTTACAGATTTGAGTTGCTAGAAGATACCCTTTATGATCACTTTGGTGTTGAGTCCCCAGAGCCAGTAGCATACCCTGGCCCCAAGACAGTATTAACAAATCTGTTTTCATCACCTAGCTCTGGCTAGCAATCCAGGGAGTCTAGAATTAGCAAGAAGTCTCCCAGTAGCCCTCTAAGGAACACAGTAAACCAGAGAGGGCTGGATAGGTACCTCTGGAATGCATTCTTTCTCTGCTTTGAAATCTCCATCATTCTAGAGCCCCACCTCCTCCCAAGTGCTAGCCTCCATTTACATGAGTGTTCCTTATGCACAGAGAATTTTAGAGTGTTGTGTGACAACAGTCAGTCCAGTATCGTAATTGTTTTAAGACAGAATCTCACAACTTACTTAGCCTTGGCTAGCCTGGAGCTCATTATGTAGAACAGACTTGCCTTGAACTCTAGGTGTGCCTGTCAATGCCTCCACATGCAAGTCTCCTCCTGAGTCTCAGGGCAGAGGACAGCAATTCATGAGCAAACCAGAATCTTCTATTGCATAGCAGCAAACTGGCCTTTTCAAGACCAGGGGAGTCATACAAACTCCTGCATTTGACATCAGTGCTCAGAGTGTTATGGTATTTACAAACAAAGGGGGTGGGGTGGTGCCAGCACCTGGGAGAGAGCCAAGCTCTGAAAGGTCCCACAAAGTGGGGCCTGGAACAGATATGTCATAGCTGCTGCCATTTGCTTTTGGATATGTGAGTTTACCTGTCCTAATCTTAACCAGGGAGGGAAAAGGGGGCACTGAGAGAATGGATAGTGGCAGCTGTTTCTTTTGCGCCCTGAGTCTCATTTCCTGAAATGTTCCCCTGAGATTTCTTGTACTTTTTCTTTGACTTTCATGTAATATATAAATTTCCACTTAGAATTCGAGGAGTTTTTGTTGTTGTTTTGCTTTTGTTTTATGATGGATGTTTTATAATATGCAGTAGAGTCTAGAAACAGCAACAACAACTAAGTGTGTCCACTAAAAGAGACTCCCTTCTAAGCGACAGGTATGTGAGTCTGGTTGAGTGAGTGGCAGGTGAGGAAAGGGGTTAGCCTGGCTTAATGCCTGCCTAGGAACCATTTATTTCTTTATAGCTTTGCTGGGAAGGGATTTAAGCTGTCAGGTACCTGGTGTCTGAGATGTGCTCTGCATGAAAACTAACCTCTGGCATTCCTAGATGTGTGCCATTTCTTGAGGAAGCTTCAACCACTTAGTAAGAAACAGACCTTTCGGTAGGACATTTGGTGCTTCTTAGGATGGATTTGTGGTTGGGGAATAGATCTCTTTCAGTAAGGTGTGGTTTTGTCTTGTTGCTTTCAGAACTGAGTGTGTAGAAAAGGGTAGTGTCTATCAAGAGGGTTCAGAGTTCTGGGGCTGCCGGCTGGCTGTGCTCAGCCCAGGCTGGAACAATGTTCACAGGAGAGTGGAATGTTTGGAGCTTCAATGAGTGTGTGGTGTAACTGAGTCTCGGGTCTTAAACACAGACACAATCTAAGAAATGGTAAACAACCCTGCTTTTGACAGAAAGAATGAGAAGTTGACAGTCCATTGTGGGCCCCGGGTGGGTTCATCAGCAGAAGGCAAAGGGATAAAGGAGTAGAGATAAAGGAACTAAGACAATGCATGGGTTGTGTCTTCCCTGTCTTCCTTTGTCTCCCCATACACACCTGGGGGTGAACCCATGGAGGCTTGTGTAGATTGCTCCTCTTTTCCTTTTGTGTTTTGTGTGTGTGTGTGCCTGGCAGATTTATCTACAAAAGGTTTCTCTCTATCTTAAGGAATATGTAGTGGGGGGCAAACAGGGCAACAAATAGTGAAAGGTATCTTAGCGAGGCAGGGGTGGGGAGTGTGGGGGTGAGTGTTCAGGCGCTGCCCTGCTGTCAGGGAGGTGGCTCCCTCACAGTTGGCCAAGAGGCCAATGGGAAGATGGCTGATCTTAGTTTGATCAGATGTTAGTTTTTACAGGATTAGTCTGTGTCCCACCTGGGGGAACCATGCTTTGGATAATGAGGTGTCCGTCAGATGGGCAGAAGGCTTGCCAGATGACTGTCCCATCTTTGCCTACGAAGAAAGAGAGTCCTTGGTTTTCATCCCATTCTTAAGGGTGGGCCCCACAGGTTTCCTCCTAGTCTTCACAGGCAGCTGCCCCTTGTGTGAGTCAGTGTTGTTGCATTGACACCACAGAATCCCAGTGAGTGTACTGATGGCGCTGCCCCTCCCCCTCCCCTCCCATTTCCCCAGGACTTGCCATTAAAGCTCCTGGGGTTAAGATTCCTGCTATCCATTTCCATCATCTTCCCTCAGAACTGCAAACTTAAAAATACCTTTCAGAGAAACTTGTTTGGAATTTCATTTTAATAGGATTTGTGAATAAATCTCCATCTTAATGCTGACTAAGCTCCAAACGGCTCTTCCAGGAGAACACTATCGGATTTTTATATTTTAAATTTTAAATCTCTTGACTCCAAAGGCATAAAACATTTTTGTATTTGTGGGAGTGCCATGTGCCTGAGCACTCCTGCTAAAGACGGACTTTTTTTTTTAATGTTTTGGCTGGTGTAAAGAATTCTGGTCTGCAGAAGGGGACTGTTGCATCATCAGCCCCCTTCCCATGTAGAAGCCTGTGTGTATTTCTCTGGTTCACCTGCCCCACCTATGAGGATGGATGTTCTGTGGTTTCCTTAAGAGATAAAATAACTCTACTTTCTTCCTTCACACTGGAACTTTTAACCTCAGAATTTCATTTTTAAATGCCACGAGCCCTCAAAGTCAGACTCAAATAATTGTCTCTGTCACTCTACATGAGCTTCCCACCTGTGGGATGAACATTGCAATGCAGGTGAGAGTTGGTCCCTCCCCCAACCCCTACCCCCAAAAGAAAACCTACTCAGGACTGACCAGATGATGCTGGCCAGAAGAGACAACTCCAGGTAGAAGGTAGAGATGGCTCTGGGGGTGGGGCAGGTGCCACAGTTAATGCTGGAAGATGCCCTTGGAATCTAAGGTCTTACGAGTGCCCACCACACACCAGAGGAAGGGTGTGAGTTGATGAACTTAGTCGTCGTAATTGCTTATTGGTGTGAGCTGTGTGTGATGTGTGTGTGCCTGTGTAGGATAGTGGTCAGCATTGCTTGTCTTCCCAGTTGCTGTCTGCATTGATTTTTTTTGAGGCAGGGTGTGGCTAGACTAGCTGGCCAGTAGTTCCAGGTACCCTCCTGTCTCACTTTCCCACTGCTGGGATGGCAGGTCTGCTATGCTCTGTGAAAGTGCTGGCAAGAAACTCATCCTCTCACAAGCAGCATCAGCTGCCCAGCCCCATTAGGTGTGATCTGTTTTGCCAATCGTGACTTAATAAAAGTGGTAGGGGAAACTGGGAGGTGAAGGGCTTCCAAGCAAGTAACACTTCACCCTGTGTCCTCTGTGGTCCAGGTCACTGTTCCTGTCTCTCCACAGATTCTTCTTACTCGGAGCCCCCCGATGTTCAGCAACAGTTGAATCACTACCAGTCAGCCGCCCTGGCAAGAAACAACAGCCGTGTGAGCCCGGTGCCTCCTGCTGGGACTGTGGCTGGCACAGAACAGAAGGCAGAAGCTGTTCTGCACTGTGAATTCTGTGAATTCTCCTCTGGCTACATCCAGAGCATCAGGCGCCATTACCGGGACAAGCATGGAGGCAAGAAGCTATTCAAGTGCAAAGACTGCTCCTTTTACACGGGCTTTAAGTAAGTGGCATGAAGAACAGTTACAGAAAACCAAAGGGGCTGCCCCTGCGCCAGCCCTCGCCACGCTCTTCCCTTACATCTCCCTGTCTACAGATCCAGGAAGGTTCTGTCAGTGTGTGAAATAAAGGTTGGGTTCAGTCTTCACAGAAGGAAGCTAGTTTCAGAAAGACTACTTTGGGACCTGTGGAAGTGGGTAAAGAGTTACTTAAGGACAAATGATCAGAACATATGGGCTTTTAAAGAATGTGGGATTGGATCAAAGGTCCAGTGCACGGAACAGGATGCATTTTTCTTTCAGAGAACATCCCCTTTTCATTTATGCGCGCGCGTGTGTGTGTGTGTGTGTGTGTGTGTGTGTGTGTTTTAAACCCTAAACCCTAGGTCTCGCACCCCCTCCCCGAAGCAAATGTAGATGCATTATGGAAATGTGTGAGAGCACTTGTTAGAGGAAGATTGCCAAAGGGGAACACCTGCTCCCTTCCTTAATAGGAGCGCTTACCATTTATTATGTGTGTACCCACCCACACCACCATGCACATGTGGGGTTGCAGGAGGACACGGGAGGTCCCACGTTTGCAGGGGTCACTTCTCCTATCTTGTGGGGATTGTCGTCAGACTTGGCAGCAAACACCTTTTCCCACTGAGCGTACCTGCCCACGATGCACTTGTTAAGGAGACATTGAAGATTTTGTCAAGTTCAAAGGTATGAGGTGGGTGGAGGAAGAGGCAGCAGCAGCAGGGTTCCTTCCTCTCTCAAGCTACTCTATTTCTGAGTTGAGGGAATCTAGTCAGAGTCACCAGGACTGACACCGAACCTGTTCTCACACTCTCCATGTGACGGTGTGAAGACTCACATAGGCAATTAATGAGTCAGCCAAGATTTAAAACAGTTCTTCCAATACCCAGTGTGAGACAGAGTTGATCCTCTTGAGAGGTTTTGTTTAATTATTTAATAGGCAGTTTCTGTGTGTCTGTGCATGTCTGTGTGGTGCTGGGCACTCTATCCAGGGTCTCACTAAGTTATCCAGGCTAGCCTTGAACTCATTCTAGCCTCAAACTTGTGATCCTCCAACCTCAGCCCTCTGAGTAGCTGCCATTTACAGACAAGCTCCACCAGATGTGGCTCAGTAGGCAATGTCAAATGTGCAAGAATGATGTATTTATTTCCTTTTACGCAAAAACTTGATCCCAGCCAAGTAGCAAAAGTTCTGAATAGTTGCCACTGTATCTCTGTGTTCATCGTTGGGTTAACTGGCCAAGGGAGATTGTAGTCAGCAAATGTAAAGTTTAGGCTTCTCAAGCAGGAAAACCACATGTGGACGTCTGCAAGAGGTGTGCCAGCAGGAGGGAGACATATTAGTGACAGTTTGTCATGGTCTCTGTCCCTTCTCTCTCAGATCTGCTTTTACTATGCATGTGGAAGCTGGGCATTCGGCGGTCCCGGAGGGAAGGCCCCAAAGATCTCCGCTGTCCTCTCTGCCTTTATCATACCAAATACAAACGAAACATGATCGACCACATAGTCCTACACCGAGGTAAGCTTCAGGCTGGCTCAGTTTACTTGTGTCCTGGAGGGGAGGTAGCATTCTAAGGATGCTCCCTGTGCGCCACAGCAGCCTCACCCTCTTCCCTAAGCTTTGTTCCTCCAGGCAGGAGTCATTGACAGTCACTGATATCCAATGAATAAGGCACATGCCAGTGGAATTCCTTCCTGGAGGGAGGGGTGGAGATGGGGGTGGGGAATTCTCAGGAACCCTTCCGTCAAGGTTCTGGGGATCAGGAATTTCCCATGCAGAATCCCTTGCTACCAAGGGACTCTAGCTATGTGTATTGTGAACCTGGGGAAGGAAGGCATAATAAAAAAGACAGAAAAGATGCTTTCCAAAGGACACAGTGAACTTTGCTTTGAAATGGACAGGGAGAAAGAGTTACAAAAAAGAGAAGTGGTCTGCTGGGCAGAACACCCATGGATTGGTTGCTGGGTCGTTCTGGTTTGGATCCTGATCTGTATAGCTTCTCTGTAAGACACCTTCATTCTGTGGTGGGGGTTCCAATGTGGATGCACAGTGGTGGGTCCTTGAATGAACATTCCAGTGATCAGCAGGGATCTGTATGAGAGCACTTGGGTTTGCTTTACTTTTTGTTTTGCATTTCTGAAACAGGGTCTTTTCAATGCAATCCAAGTTGGCTTCAAACTTGAAATCCACCTGCCTCAGCAACTTCCTGGAGTTGCTGGGAATAGAGACAGGCCTGGATTATGCCACTTGGACTTTTTATATTTTTGAGCTTTCACTTGATCAATTAAAACATCACTAGCCAATGGGAGTCCTTTGTAGTGGAAGGAAACATGCCGATGATGCAGTTTGGCCAAAAGATCCTCCTGTTGCGGGTGGGTGGAGAAAGGGAGTACCCACTGCCATCTTGTTTGTCCTGCAGTCTATTCATCTTTGCATCCCTTCCCGTCCCTTGCCTCCCACCCTTCCTGTCTTCCTCATCTTTCTTTTGCCTCCAATCTTGGAAAGCTTTCCAGTATTTGCCACTCACGCCCAAAGCAGCATGTGCCATCTACTATCCTGCCTCGGTGTCCCTCAGATGCCAGGGTGGAGGCATCTGTAAGGTGGCTTACATTTCCCCAGCAGCACTACCTTTAGGCAGCAGTATGCCTGTGATGTGCCTCTGTCTGTTCAAATCTCATGGAAGATGCAACAGCTGCAGTGCTCTGTTTCTTCCTTCCATTGCTATTTAAGAGATGGTAGCTGGCTGGGCCAACCACCTGTAAGCCAGGCAAAAGCAGCGCAGCAGTATTTAGGCAGGAATTCTTGGCCCTCAGCTTCCTGCCTGGTGTTTTGCCTCAGTCACCTGGCTTCTGGTCCCCCAGCCCATGTGTTTCAGTAGCTGTGTGCCCCATCCCAGCTTGGGTGGAGGCCATCAGTGGAGCTGGTGCCCAGAGAACATCAACGCTGAGTCCTTGCTGGCTGCAGTGAATCGTCACTGGCTGCAGTCATTTCCCATATTGCTGCCTGGTGGGATCAGTGCTTTGATGGCTGACAAGCTCAATGACTTTCCGGTCTGAGCTTAGACTTAGGAAGAGAGAGACATTCTGCGCAGAGGCCAGGAACACTTGACAAAGAGCTCCCGGCACCCAGTTGTCTCATCATCAGCACTGTAGGCAGCACCAGCATCACATGGCCTCCTGTTTTGTAGATGTGAAGCTCAAAGCTGAGGATGACTATGGGGGGTTTTGCTTGTCTGTATCCCTTTTGCTTTTTAACCCAGTGTATTTATTGGAGCTCTGCTTCATTTCACAAAGGATTTAAAGTAGCTCAGAGTCATTCCCGCAGAGTTGTTGCACCAAAAACAAATGAAGGCTAATGTGCAAGGCAGTGGGGCCGATATAGAAAGTGTAACTGACAATAGGAATGGTTTCAGCAGCAGTTGGAGATGCCTCGAATGTACACAATCCCCATCTTTCATTATTCATGCCTGCACATTTGGCCTTGGCATCTTTGCTTATCATGAGGGAAAGAAACAATCATTTGGATTTGTGATGTTTATTAAATAATTTCCCACTATCTAGACAACTGGAGTCTAGAAAGAATCTCTACAGTGAACAAACAGGGATGTTACAATGTATAGTGGGTCCATCATACATACAGTGCATGTTGAATGCCCCATAATATGAAATGCCGGAGACCCTAAGTGTTTCAGAGTTCTGAAATATGCAGACTTTGGAATATTTGCATTGAATGTCATTTAAATATCCTTTACCCAATCACGTAGGTGCTGACAAAGTTTTGGATTTGAATCAGTCTTTTCCATGGGGCCGTAGAGAGCTAAAGTAACTTAGCGAGGGTTACTCATCCAGCAGTCATGGAATCGGTCCCAGTCTTTTGTTATGTCTCATGCCATTCCCGGTCATTGGTGGTATTGTCTCTTCTGTTTGCTTAGGGTGAGAGTTTCCTGGATGTGTGAATATTGTGAATATGGTCCCAATATGTGCAGCTAAGGATCAGTAGTGACACCAAGAGCTGTGACTGTCATTAGTGAGTGTTTACTCAGCCATGGGCACCATGCCGAATGCTTTACAGTAAGCTCACCAAACCCAGCATGGTCCATATGACTGTTAGCCTTGATGACAACCAACAAAAACAGGTTCAAAAAAACCTGAGTAACTTCCCTACGGTCCAAGGACTCTTGGGTAACAGGCTGGAATTGGAGCCCAGGTGTATGTGACCCACAGCACTTGCTTTGAATCCCAGGCACCAATACTCTCTTACCCTTGGGAAGCTGGTGTCACCTGTTCAGTGTTCTATAGACTGTGAAAGTTAGGTCTAAGGATAGAACTCTTTGTAGGGCTAGAGGTCAAAGGTGGGGGACCCCAATCCACAGGCAGCAGAGGGCTCTAAGACAGCTGTACCTGCTGATTTCTGGCTCTGGTGTCCATCTCCACTTGAAGGGAGATCAGAGAGAACCTGGTCTTGGCATCTCAACATGCGGTCAGATGTCTGCCTTGCAGATCAACACTGGGCTGATCCCAGAGTAATAAGATGAGGCTTCTGCACCTGTGCACTGCCTGCTCCAGATGAATAAACATCTTTGGTCTCTAGGGTCCACAGCATGAGATGTTTCTGAGGCCTCAGTTAATTAAAAACCTTGGGATGAAAGGCAAGAAAAACAACTTCTGAACTGGCCCTAAGACAGACCTGCTACTGGCAAGGATAGCTGCCATCTCTTTTTGTTGGGACACAGTGATGCATTTAAGTAGGGGGAGGAGGGGAGAGGAATCCATCCATGGAAGTCAGAATGAGAACTAATCAAGGATGTGTCCTGGCCATGGCAAAGGGAACATACTACTGATTCATAGGTTCAGCAAACACTCATTGTTTGCTTGTTACCTGCTGCACTCTGTGTGGCTGTTTGTGGGTGATGAATTATTAAAAAAAAAAAAACCATACTTGGCCTCCTCAAGATAAACACAAGCAGAGAATATCCAAGACAGTGAGTGATGGGTGTCTAGGAGCCCTGCTTACATTCTGGAAAGAGATAAGTCATGGACAAAGGTGGATTTCTGACTGAGCCATGGTAGCATTTCACAGGGAAGACTTAGGTGGGCTACATTGAGATACATGGCTACCAACTCAGTGGCTTTAGATAGGTATAGAGGCTAGTTATAGAGGCTAGAATTATCAGCAGGGTTGTGAATCATGTAAAACATCAAGAACACCATCCTTGATGGGATTAAGAGGGTACAACTCAGTGATAGGTCACTTTCCTACCCTGTGTGAAGCTCTAGCTTTGATTCATATCATGTCCTAGTTCCTTGGTGTTCTTTGGTATCCTTAGCTTATAGTGGCATTCATCCAACTTCTGCTTCCTTCTTCTCAGGGCCTCATTCCCAGTGTTTCTTTCTGTGACTTCTCATGTAAAAACACCAGGCATTGAATTTTAAGCCAGTCCTAACCTAATGTGACCTCTCTCATCTTAATTACATCCAAAACCTCTATTCCAATAGTTATATTCTGGGGTTCCAAGTGGACCTAAACTTGGGGAACACTATCAACCCCTACTTGAGCTGGTAATTCATTAATAAACCATAGTACCCACTGAAAGCAAGACCTATTGGCAGCATGGCTTCAGACTATTCCTAAAGAGAAAAGGAAGCCTTAAAGAAAATGTGTTCTGGAGGATCTAAAGGTAGATGCAGAAGTTTGACCTTTATTTAATAGACAGGAAAAATCTTTTTAAATCAGATTCAGTTAGACACCTGTTAAATTAGAATTTAGCCAAGGTTGAGACGAAGGGATCATTAGACCTATCTCTTTAAGAGCTATGGATTTAGATCTGCCAACATCTGGTGAGACTTGGAGGTTTAACTTGGAAGTTTGTTTCATGAACTCCTTTGATAGGACTTTGGGTGAGTTTTCATTTGAGCAATGGATTTGTAGCATACCTACTGGTGTTTTAAGAAATAGGGCAGCTCAGCCATGATGAACTAGACAACATTTGTTGTCCGAGGGAAGTTGAGCTTTAGCAGGAAGAGACCTACTAAACATGTGAATGAAGCTTCATGATTGCATGGCTGTGAGAATACAACCATTGGAAGCATGGTGCCTGTACACAGCTTGGCCAACTGTGCCTTGTACCTTTATAGCAAGCCTGAAAATTTGGGCACAGATTGAATTGTAGGGCTGAAAGCCTTTTGACAAGTCTCTACATTGTGATTTTGTAGCTGTGTGATCAGTGGTTGCTCCTCAGTTGGCATGTTAATTTCAAGGTTCTGTGTGTTGTTTTAGTAACTAAAGGCTGCCTGAAGCTCTAAGCCTTGAAGGTGGGCATCCGGAATGGAAGCCATCTCCCCTAACCTTGGTTTTAGGAGAAAAAATCAATCAGACTGAGAGTGTTATTTAGATTTAGTGAAATTATGTTCCCTCCCATCTGTATCCTTACCTGATAGAGGTATTAACTGTTCCCAGCTCTGTCTAGAAAATGGCTAATGTCAAAACCCAATAGCTCTTTATAGCTTGTGCTTATATATCTATTTGTGGTTTTATATTAGAATGCTTTGAAAAATAATGATGTCCTTTTCTTTTCATTCTCCCCTTGCTATTCTTCCAACTTCTCACATTCCCCCTTCTTCTCCTCCTCCTCTTCATCCCCCGAAACCCCCGAAACAGAGTCATATAGAGACCGACCTGACCTGAAACTTAGTACCTTGCCCAGGCTAGCCCCAAACTCTCTTGCCTCCTTCTACCAGATGTGCTGACACGGGACTAGTGTTGCTTTCTTAATGGTTTTCTCTGCTCTCTGGCCTTTGTCACTCGGTCGCTCACCAAAGAGTAGTGAGTGGGTCTTTTGGGCTCAATTTTCTGGGTTGATGGCTTTGCACACAAAGTTTGTGGTGTAAAGGAATTCCAGAGATTTTGCTGCTTTTCTTTAAGATTTGGGGTATTCTCGGAAGGGAACTCAAGAGTGTTGCAGAGCTCTTTCCAGAAGAGCTCTTACGTGGTGACTCTGGGCTCCACAGTCTTGAAATTTCTTGCTGAAAAGTGACCCTCAGCAAGAAATGACCCCTTGTTTGCATTTCTGCAGCTTTTCTACTGAACTGCTTGGCAGCATACTCAGCTCTGCTCTTGCTACAGCTAAGGTCACAGGTGTTTCGGATATTTTCACTCCAGTTCCAGGTCTCACTGAAGCAGTGAGTGCCAGTTGAGTAGGAGGAGATGAGGTTGACCATCCATCTGTGGTAAACTGGTGGCATCACCATATTTTTTTGCCACCTTCACTGGGAGCTGGCTGGGTCATGATGGATACAATTAAGGCCATTTCTTATCCAGGGTAATTTTGAGAAGTGTGAGGTCAAGAAAGACCCATGAGTTCTCATAGAAATAGAACTCTATAGCCAAGGCAGGATCCAATCCATATCTGGAACATTCCAGCCTAGCTTGCCAGGTCATGATAATATACATTTATATAAGTAAGGGATTTTGTCCATTTTAACTTGTATCTTAGTTTGGAGGTGGGAAGTCTTTTATTTCATTTTTTTTTTTAATTTTTAAAATTTCATTTAGTTATTTATTGGGGGGGATTGTGTAAACCTTCAAGTAATAATACTAATATTAACTGATATTTCCATATACAACACTGTAACACCAAATAGAGCCTGTTGCACAGCAAGCTTTTAATCAATTGTAAAGTTATTTATGAGTTATTATCACTACTGGCATTTGAACTCCAGGGCATGTCTTTGAATGCTTAGACCTTTGGGTAAAATTCTTAATGGCGCATCATGAAATTAGGAAGTGTAAAGAAAGCTAATCAAGGTGGTAGGGGAATTGAAAGGGAGATCCGTAAGAAGGGGGTTTGGGAGAACCAATCATTGACTGTGGGAAACGGACTGTCGAGTGACTGAATGCTGCCCTCGTGGCGTTTGTGGCGTTTGAGGCATTGTTACATGGAAAAGTGTGCCCAGCTGTTCCTCATCGCCAAGGAGGTTGACAGATCTAGGGCAGATGGGCCAGGCTGGAGCCAAAGAATAGAAGAGGAAGCAGTAAAGATGACAAGATAAATCAGGGACAAGTATAGCGGGAACAGGAGGGCTGCAGCCTCAAGGGAGTGCCAAAAATGTTCATGGCAGCCCTTTCCCGCGAGTTCAACCTCAGTGTGCCTGTTGGTCCCTGTTGCGGCTGTTACCCCTCTTCCCCTAGGCAGCAGTTAGGCTCTACCGTATGTAGAGCCACAGAAGTTCATGCCTGGTGTTACTGAATGTCCTTCCAGCCTCACAAAGGGTGCACCACCCTGCTGCGATTTGGGGCTATCAGTGGAAGGAGTGCTAGAAGAATCTGGTGGGTGAAGCCTGTTGAAGCTGCTAAGCATAATACAATCCATGGGTCAGTGCCCCCACAACAAAGAATGGTCTAGCTCCCAGATGTCAGCCATTCTTCTCTTAAGAAATCCAGGAGTAAAGGGGGGGCCTTACACTCTCTGAGGAGCAATTGGGGGGGTGGAGCGGGAGGAGAGGTGGGAGGGCAAACTGGGATTGGAATGTAAAAAATAAATTAATTTTAAAAAAAAGAAGACTCAAGAAATCCAGGAGTAAGGGGGTAGGGGAGTAGAAGATGCTAACATGGACTTCTTCAGGGTAACTAGTTTATGCCAAGACATCCCCCCCCCCGTCCGTTTACACCAAACTGTGGAACTGAATGGCTTAGAAGACTGTTAAACATTTGCTATTCTAAGAAAATGTGTGGATTACTTTATAATCATGTGTTTCTTAGCTGTCTGCTATACTTCAGTTTAAAAATATTTATGTTTCTAAATAAGCAAGTGACTCTTTGTATAGAGAAAATAACATATGCATTAGATCTCTGGGGAGTATGTTACAGACACCACCCTTCACGCTTTCTCTGCCCAGCATTTTGCTGGCCGATGAGGTGCTACATTCAAGGGCTCCAAGGCAGTGAGTGCCCCACAGTTCGAATGCTGTGGTTGAGATGAAGACATGGTGTTGGGTGGGGGAAACTCCCTGGGGTCTGATTGCAGCCAGTCACGAAAGGGAAGCTGGAGGAGGCAGTAGCATCCACGTGCAAAAGACTAACATCGCTACTCGGTGTCTCTGGAAATCATGCTTTTCTGACTTAATAATACATTGCTGTGTCTAAATAATATAAGTATATGTTGTGTGCATCCATTTGTAAACTTCCAGAGTCTTCTGAAATCCAGACTCAGCATGAAAACACATGCTATATTTGATTCTTGCATATATAGCACAGATTTTAATTTTATCCCAGTTATGGATATCTGGCACGTGTGCCAATACTCTGGGCAGACTGGTGTGAAATTTAATTTGAGCAGTTAAACACAAGGGTGAGAGAGTGCAAAATACACAAGCGCATGCATTTCCAGCCCTACAACAGTTGGCGCGTGAGTGGGAGAGGCACCCAAGTCCGCTCGCTCTTCCCTGCTTTCGGTTTTCTTCCTCCTGTGGCAGTCAGATCACAGAGTTCCCTAGAGTGGCACACATCTTCAGTGGTTTGGGGGGGGGCCCACCTCTCCACCATGCTGCCCATAGTCATTTCACTTGTAAGCTAAGTGTACTGTTTGGTTGGTTTCTAGATTTACTGTTCTATTTGAGATCCCCTGGCTGTTCTATTTCAGAAGGGCATCTTTGAGAATGCTTCTGGAGGGAGCGGTCAGGAGTGGGGGTAAAGGGGATGGGCATGTATAGAAGCAGCAGTGAGGCCAACCTGGGTTCATGGTTCAGCTCTGTCCATTGCAATGTGTCAGTGAACTTTGGGACATTTTTCAAGCTTATCCTTCACTGGAGATGTACCTCAGTGATAGAGGGCTTGCCAAGCATGTCTGAGATCCTAGCTTTCATCCCCAGGGTATAAGTAGGGTGTCGTTCCTTATTCTGAAAACGGGAGTAACTCTAGCCATGGTGTCATCAGAAGGCGACCACAGTAGTGGTACTTAGGTTCCTGGTTAAGATACATTTCCTTCCCTCAGAGGTACCTGGCATCCAGCCATCATCACACTTGCTGTAGGATATTATAATGATTTTTTGTCAGTGGTTATTAATATTGGTAAAGATGGCAGACACTTCTGTGCCCTACCTGTCTTCATCACCTCCATTCAGAAGTTATGTAACACCTTTCTACCTGCCCCATATGTATTTATACACCGTTCCTGGTATTAAGCACACTGAAACTTTGGTCTTCCAAGTACCCAGTTGTGCTGGAGGATTATGTGCCATGTGGGGAAGTCAGGGAGGGACAGTGTGCATGTGTGTGCTCACCGACCAAGACCCCCAGGAAGTATTGGAATTGAATGGGTCCATTTCTCAGGTCCCAAAGAAGGAACATCTGCTTTCCATCAGTAAAAACGCCCATCTCTCCATTCGATTTGTTTCCACAGAAGAGCGAGTTGTCCCCATTGAAGTGTGCCGTTCCAAACTGTCAAAATACTTGCAGGGAGTAGTTTTCCGCTGTGATAAGTGTACCTTCACCTGCTCCAGTGACGAGAGCCTCCAGCAACACATAGAAAAGCACAATGAACTGAAACCTTACAAATGCCAGCTCTGCTACTATGAGACCAAGCACACGGAGGAACTGGACACTCACCTTCGGGATGAGCATAAGGTACTTGCCCAGGACTTCCTGCCTCCCCCACCCAGCTCAGTACTCCTGTGGGGAGGGCCCTGGTGGGGAGATAGGTCAGGGTATGGGGAAAACAGGTCACTGAAGTCATACCTACCGTGTGCAAGACAGGAAGATGAATTAAAACAATTACAGTGAACCCTCATTTTCTTAGAGTAAACGAAATATAAGATCATTGTAGACCTTGTTAAAAAAATAGATGGGGTGAATAAGTCACTCATACCTCCACCATCTAAAACTTTGGGTGATCTTTTCTATACTTGCTTTCATTTGTTTTACATAATTTTATTTATACTATATAAAAAAAAAAACCTCATCTTGCTTTTTTGTTTTTATACTGACTAAAATTTTTCTGTCTTATTTTAAATCTGTTTAGTTATTAGCATTGGCAGATTCCCTGTAAAAGGCAGTCAATAACTCTGTTGGGCTTTGTGGGCCATATATGATTTCAGTGGCAATTGCTCAAACCCACTATGACTATAACAAGAAAGCAGCCATGGGCAGTGCATCAGTGAATTAACACAGTAGTGTTCTAATAAAACATTATCCAACAAATAATGACAGTCATTGGGCCCTTAGTTGCCAACCCCTTAACACTTAGTCATGTAAGTTCTTTCCAGGGTTTTGCTAATTACAGTGAATTTCCAAAGCTTTACTATGTATATCAGAACCATATAAGAAATTGATTTTTTTTTAATGAATTAGGAAGGACATATGATGGAGATTGTGGTGTAAATTTTCTTCCATGGCTCTCTTACTTAGTGTAGGGTTTATTTGGCTTACTGTGGCTCTAGGTGATTACTCCAGGTTCTGCATATGGTCCCAAGCACAGGAGTTATGATTAGTATTTGTTAGAGTTCAAAACATCTATTAAGTGTTTCTCAAGACATTGATGCCGTTTCCATATTTCTCGTTCTGTAGCCTCTTCAGCAAAAACTCAACCATCCTTTCTTAGCCTTCCAGTCCCAAGATAAAATAATTTGGTCTGAGTCATCTCTTCGTAAGGGCTAGAAATTTTCTGCTGGGTCCTGAGCTTGTCTCAGGTCCACAATTTGATGGCTTGAAGGCAGCTTCTGGTTGCCCATGACTACCCCTGAAGTAAAAGCTGAGAATGAAAGCCTAGATTACCTCAGTGGAAATTTCCATAGCCTTTAAAGCTTTTTCTGCCTTCCTGGGCATTTCTCATCCTAACTCAGGGGGAAATGTATTTCAGACCAAGCTTCTTGTAGTCATTCATGTGCGCATCATTTATGCACAGTCATCCTTTTATTATAGCATTCAAGCCTTCAGGCTGGTATCTGGGAACAGGGCAAGTCAGGAAGAGAAATTCTTCCCCAGCTATCGCAGTGACTTCTAAACTACCAGGAAATCCAGACAATGTTAGAAGCCAAATAATGGAGCCAGAGGCTTCGGAAGCAGGGCACTGAAGGCTGGTGCTCAGGAATGTGGACTTGGGTAGCAAAGTTCTCCACAAAGATGGACCAATTTTAGGACTTTTAGAACAAAGAAAGCTGAGTAGTAAATTGCTCTGTTGCTTCTTGTGTATGCATTAGGAAGCTGCTTCAGCATGAGGGGTGATTTCTGGTTTAACTATGGGGATTATTATGCCATGTTCAGAAGCCTGGTACAAGTAGATGAAGTCCTTGTTCTGAGTGTCAACTTCTACATATTGACATGCAGTCCGTGTTCCATAGACTATTTGTAAATTGAATTGTGCTTCCATATAGCAAGAACTTATATGGAGCATAAAGGCAACCATGCTCTCAAAGGCCTGAGATATGAAGTCAGAAATGATATCTTATAGTTTAGTTTTTAATTATACTTTTACCATGTCATGATATGTTTTTAAATTTTGACCTTTTTTATGGTTGAGGTGTTTAAGTTCAATGAGTTCCTGCCTAAGGCTGAGGAGTTACTGCTTTGAGTATGCCCAGCGGTTTCCATCTTTGTGTCTGTTACTAAATTTATAAGATTTGTGTTAGATAACAGGTGCTTTCTTTTCCCATTTTCTATTCTTTTTTTTCCCCCACCTGAATGATGGACACATAGTGATGTAATTCAGTGCAATTGAAACTGGACTTTCAGGTGATGGGCACTGGTTCTGGGCACTAGGAGAGCATGGTTGTTCATCAGGGTGAGTGGTATACAAGTATCAGCATTCTTGGAGAAGGTGTGGGGCTGCCAGTGTGCTAAGGAACTTGCTGATGATTCAGATGTGAAAGTTAATGACTATAAGACAAAAACAAGGAATTAGAGGCTTGAGAGACATAGCAAGAAATGACTCATTTTAGTCACAAATCTGAGTTAGCTTTTTTGTAATTTCATCAGGATTTTGTAGCTACTAGAATACTCAGGAGCTTGTTGAATTAGTAGGATATAAGATAGGCACACACACAAAATAAATTCCTAAATGATGAAAAAAATCATTATAAAAGATTATTAATTATAGTGATTAACACCAAAAGGAATAAAATCTAATTTGGGATAAAATTAACCTAAGATCTGTAAGATCTAGTTACTGAGAGCTACAAAGTCCCACTGAGAAAAACAGATGACCCACATTATTGTAGTCCTTACCATGTTCATGAAATAGGCAACTAATTCAATAGTGATCATTTTTCCTAAATTGACCTACAAATTTAATATAATCTCTACCCACAGTTTGCCAAGTTTTTTGTTTTGTTTTTGTGTGTTGTTGTGTTCTTTGCTGGGGGATTTCAAGACAGGGTTTCTCTGTATAACATTTCCAGGCTGTTCTAGAACTTGCTTTGTAAACAAGGCTGATCTCAAACCCACAGAGATCTGCCTGCCTCTGCCGCCTGAGTGCTGGGATTAAAGGCTTGTACTACCACTATTCAATGAGAAGGTTTTCTGTTTTGTTTTTGTCTTGTTTTTAATAGAGCTTGATCAACTGAATCTGAAATTTATGTGGTGGTACAAGTGGCATAGATTAGTTCAGTGATTCTCAACCTGTGGATTATGACCCCTTTGGAGGTTTGAATGACTTTTTCACAGGAATCACACTTCAGATATTCTGCTTATCAAAGAAATATTTATGTTTTGGTTCATAACAATAGCAAAATTACACTTATGGTAACAATAAAACAATTTTATGGTTGGAATTATATTAAAGGGCTGCAGCATTAGGAAGGATGAGAATTGCTGAATTAGGATAAATAGTGAAGGGAAACAAAGTTGGAGGGCTCAACCCTTCTTGGTTACAAAACTTGGGTGAAGCTACAGTATTTAAGAGTGTGGCACCTGCACAAGGACAGATATTCAGTTTAAGGAGCAGAAGGAAAAGTCTAAGAATAGATTGTCATGTCAATGTCGTCAATTGATTTCCACCAAGCATGTCAATACAACAGAGAAATGGTATTCTTTCAAAGTTAGTTCTGGAACAATTGGATTTGCACATACACATTTCAACCCTTTGTCTTTACATAACTCTACACAAAAATCAGTTAAAATTGATCATAATATTTGGACATTAAGGGAAAGAAGAATATAAGTTGAATGTCATCAAAATTAAATGTTTGCCCTTTAAAAGATGACATTAAGAAACAGATTTGCCAAGTATTTATGTACTAGGCCATGGAACCAGCACCTACAAAGAACTATTTCAATTTAACACACACAGAATAAGATTTGAGTAGACACTTTTATTAAAAAAAAGAAAGAAAAGAAACTAATGGGTAAATGAGTCCATTCAAAGACTCTTGACATAAAGCTACCACTTACAAAATAGAGATTAAAGAAACATTGTTTTCATTAGCTACCAAGGTAGTTGATACCAGGCTGTCAGTGCTAAGCTGTCAATATCAAGATGTGGCTGAGGGTGTGGAGAAAATGGAAAACTTGGGGTGCTGGTGAGAGCATAAAAATGTACTTTGGAGCAGTTTGGCAGTTTAAATGTTAGTATTGTGTTAACCTCAGGTACAGCTGTCTTAGTCAGTTTTCCACTATTGTAAAGAAACATCATGACTATGCTTAAAAAGAAAGTATTTAATTGGAGCTTGCTTACAATCAGAAGTTTAATCCATTATTGTCATGGCAATGCACAGGCAGACATGGTGCTGGAAAGGTGCCTGAGAGTTCTACATCTGGATTCCCAGGCAGCAGGAAGAGACAGTGGACCTGGCTTGGGTCCTTAAATCCTCAAAGCGCACCCACGGGGATGTACTTCCTCTAATAAAGCCACACCTACTCCAATAAGGTGATACCTCCTTATCCCTGTCAAGTAGCATCATTACTAATGACCAAATACTCAAGTCTATTAGCCTATAGGAGCCATTCCTATTCAAACCACCACACTGGCTTAAAGTATGTGGCTAAATGGTTGGGAGCCTAACCCTTAATGGCTAAGCTATCTCTCCATCCCTAGCTGGATAAATGGAATACAGACTGTCTATCCAGTGAATGGAAAACTACTCATGAGTAAGGAATGAATTACTAATATTTAATAGCATGGATGGATCTCAGATTTTATTAGTGGACAAAAGCCAGACTTCTGTTTTATGTGAGTTTCTAGAAAATGTGTAATTGTAGCAACAGGAAGTAGCTCAGAAGTTGCCTGGGGCTGGCTGAATCTTAAAAGGACTGTTTGATTATAAAGGATATGAGGAATCATCTTAAGAGGTGAAGAGATTCCTAAACTAACGTGGATTAGGGTTGTACAAATGAGTAAATCTACTTTACAAAAAAATGAATTGTTCATGTAAAATAAATTAGATGGTCAGTGAATTATACTCCAATCCCCAGACTCTAGCACACAGTGAGTCTTCAGTATTGCAAAGTTTCTGTGGTATTCCTTATCAAATTGATTGTTGGACCAGTAGTGCCAGATTAATGCATAAGCTCTCAACAATAAAATGTAAGTTGGAGGTTGCTGCTCCATTTTCAATAGGACACTATTAAGTGTATGTCTTTTTATATTATGTTACAAATCATTTTAGGGGCGTGTTGTATGGAGGAGAAAATCT